AACCCTAATCCGAAACCCTAAACCCTAAAACCCTAAACCCTGAACCCTGAACCCGCATAAACCCGACTAGTCGCACCAATTGGGTCGAGCAAGAGTTCGACTGCACGGGCCGCATCGGTGGAATGGATGAAGTCTGAGAAAGCCTTCGAGCTGCTTTAGGGCTTTAGGGCTTTTTATGACACTCACACTCGGACAAGCCTGGCAAGGTCCACCGCGATACTGGCTTTAGGGCTTAGGGCTTTAGGGCTTTAGGGTTTTAGGGTTTTAGGGTTTTAGGGCTTTAGGGTTTTAGGGCTTCAGGGCTTTAGGGTTTCAGGGTTTTAGGGTTCAGGGCTTAGTGCATTGCAGTCCCTGCTCAAAAAAAAAGGTTTCAGGGTTCAGGGTTTAGGTTTTTTGGGTTTTTTTCAGGGTTTTAGGGTTTAGGGTTTAGGGCTTTAGGGTTTTAGGGTTTTAGGGTTTCAGGGTTCAGGGTTTAGGTTTTTATGGTTTTAGGGTCTTAGGGTTTAGGGCTTTAGGGTTTTAGGGCTTTAGGGTTTCAGGGTCTCAGGGTTCAGGCTTTCGGTTTTTAGGGTTTCAGGGTTCAGGGTTTAGGTTTTTAGGGTTTTTCCGGGTTTTAGGGTTTAGGGGAGTACGGTTTCGGGTTTAGGGTTCCTATAAAGGAATCTATAAGGGTTGATATAAGGGTTACCATCAGGGTTTAGGGTTTAGGGGGTTAAGGTTTTATCGGGGCTTTATTTGGTGTACTGTAGAGTTTTATGGAGGTTGGTTTGTGAGGGACATTAACCCACACTAAAGAAGCGCATGGTCCATTAAACCATTAATGAGGAACAGGCATATAAAAATCAAACAGCAAACGCTCAGTAGGAAACACAGCGACAAACAGCTACATGAGCGCATGATCGAATACGACTACATAGTTGATATTAACTCTGATCAATACTACTGACACCAACAAACACTGATCAATAGCAATGTGCGGCAATTATGGGTATAATTGAAAAGAACACAAACAACAAACAACAATAGGTAAGGACCCTAGGTGTCAAACTGAACACAGCAATGGGCAACACAAGTATCAACAACACGCAAAATAAACAAGACCAGCCAAAACACCTGTTAAACAGCAAGAAAACACAAACTACTGTCTGGGGGCGAACAATCTTGAATAACAACAAGCAGCACAAGCAGCCATGATAAAATACGCATGACTGAACAGTACTAACTAACAGCAAACTAAAGGCATAATGCCACAAGCAGTAACAGTCAACAATAAACGCAGTAACCAGTAACAACATGTTATGGTTAGTTAATAGAACAGAAGAGGTCAATGGTAAGATTAAGAGTAAGAAGAATTCGAAAAGCTATGCTGAAACTAATATCGCTTGTAATCGTGTAGCCCCATCTCAATATCCAGGGCGCTATAGCATGCTGGCCGCGTTCGTTTTTTGTTGTTTTGTTTTATACGGGTCTCTGCGGTCTTTAGCAGGGCTTTGACGGGGCTCTTGTTAAGAAACGTCTTATTTTGAGCTACACAACTAGAAATACAAGTATGTAAGGCTACGTACTGTTATCGTTATTGTATACATATGTACATATGTGTGTGAGGGAGAATGCGCCTTCCTTGCTATGCTAACTTACACTGAGTGCCATCTCGAGACTCAGGCTTAAGGCTCAGCTCAGCGATCGAGGCGTTTAGAGGTTTAGTGAGTGTCTGAGGGTTTATTGTCCACATTGGTTTAGGCTTCATTCAGCTTCTTGCGTTCAAAGGGTGCTTTGCTCAAGGGTTCCCGCCGCTGCTCCGTAACCAGCTTAATGATGGCTACATATGGCTACCTTATGCAAGTGTCTTTACACTAAGCCCTAAACCCTAAACTCTAAACCCTTAACCCCTAAACCCTAAGGATCCTACAGTTTAGGATCTTCATGCCGGGTTTCATATTCTCATGCTGAAATCGCCGAGAAGCTCTACCCACATGCAATACATGGAAGCCTTGCAGCTCATAAGCAACCCAAAGCCAACGAGAAGCAGCTCAAACCCTCAATTTACAATCTAAACCTAAATCCCAGCCCCTCAGCTGTTGAAGCTCAGCAGCCACGCCCTCTGTCGAAGCCCCAGGACGATCTCTCCTTGGGGCGAAAATGGGCATTAGTGTTTAGGGTTTGCCCTAAACCTTTAAACTCTTAACCATCGGGTTTGGCTGTGTTTTGTAGGGTCTTGCATTGTGTTTGTTTGCTAGTTGTTTGAAGGGTTCGCGAAAGTTGCTAGTTGCAACTGTCTTATAAGAACTTCGCTTTGGCAACGGCTAGGTAAAGATCCACAGCCAACTGAACCTTGATATACGGTCGATCGGGGGCCAACTGGGTCCCTTCATAAGGGTGTTCTGCGGTTTCGTAGGTTTCACTATACTATAGGAGCCTAAATAACACCTACACTATTTTGGGGGCTCCTTATTAGAATTATAGTATAATGGGCCCCAAAACCCTATTCTCACTACTAAGGCCCCTGTGTCAACCTTGCCAGGGCTTTCGTTGAAGCTCAACAGGGGTCTTCTTAGAGCACAAGGGTCTTCCGCTCGCTTTGCTCTCGGGGTGGTTCAGTGCTTTGAGTTTCGGTGCTTTAGGCAAGTGGTTGAAGGGTTGTGGGGTTTATGGTTCTATTAATCAGGACTGATTACGGTTTGAGAAGCAATGGGCGTTTGCACATGCGACGTGCGGAGATGTTGAATTCGGGCATCGCGTTTTCAGGAATTTCAGCACCCTGTCGCCCAGAAGCTCCGGCCCCTTCCAGGAGAAATACATGCTAAAGAAGGGTTTAGGGTTTAGGGTTTACCTAGGGGCTGAGTACCCTAGCCCAAAACAGGTTGACCTTTTCAATTATGGTAGGATTCTATAAACCCCAAAAGGTTAAAGGTTACCTACTCAGCCACTAAGTTTAGGGAAGGAAGAGTCCCACAAATGTCAGAGGAATGTCGGCCTTCAGTAGACTGAAAGGTTCGAACCCTCATTCCGAGGCCTTGACCTAGGAACAAGGTAACCTTAAGAGCCTAAGGGTCCATGTCACTAAATAGTCTGTACTTTGGCCTTAAAGTAGTCCCTGTATAGGTACATTGGGGCCAAAGTATGTACTATTTGGTTACATGAACCCTTAGGGTAAGGCAGCTCGACGACTTCCTGGTATAATCTTAGATGAAGGAAACCCTGCCCTACAGCCTCAACTTCCAATTCCGAACTGCGGGTCCCTAAGCCCTAGGCCCTAAACCCCTAAACCCGAAACCCCAAACCCTGAACCCTAAACCCCAAACCCTAAACCCCTAAACCCTAAACCCCAAACCCTAAACCCTAAACCCTAAACCCCTGACCCCTGAACCCTGAACCCCAAACCCTAAACCCCTAACCCCAAACCCTAAACCCCGCCAGCATAGCCCCAGTCGCAGAAGCATGGCGCTGAGCTCCGCCGAGTGCCGGATCAGTCTCAAGTCCTTCAATTGCCGCGAGCCTACAAGACCCGACCTTGTTGGGGCTCCTTGTTCTGCTTATCTGTTGAGGGTTTAGGGGTTTTTAGGGCTCCTTTTGTTTATGATATATAATAAGTCCTTAACTAGTTGGGCTGTTTACGGCAAACGTGGGGCTTCGGGGATGGCAACCAAGGCAGCTTGCTGTTTTGTCTGGGGTTCTACTTCAGTTATGAGTTTCTGCCTGAAGACCTGGTCTTTTTCAAGCGCATGGTTACGGGTTTGTGGCTCTGCAGGGGTCCGATTTTTCTACAGGATGTCATGTGGCTTATTCAACTTTGAACAACCCTAAACCCTAAACCCTAAACAAGACCGATGGGGCCTGATCGAGCTCGATCACTGCGTCGCTCATGAGACGCAATAGCGCGCTGATGGCTGAGTTGTCATAGGATATCCTCGGCTACTTGGAGGTTCATGGGTAGTTATTATAAGTATGGTTATAAGTCCCCTAATATGGGCTATAATTATAGTTACCTTACTTATAACCCCACTTATACCTTCCCATGAACCTCCAAGTAATCTGCAGTCTGTACAGGGTACGGCTCAAGCATTTGCCGTGGGAGTTGGGGATTCCGGTTTCTACAGGGGCGCCAGAGGATTTAGACGGTTCATCGGGCAAGTCAAGGCTCATAGATCAGGGCATCATGTAAGGTATGACAGTTGGGATGGCTGATTCAGGTACTTCAAGTTCAGACGTGATAACTTACAGCCCTGCATGACAACACCATGCCGGCCTCCGTGTGGACTTTGGGCAAGTGGCATGGGTGGGAGTGCCGCTACAACTCTTCCGGTGTTCAACGAACAGTCTGGAGATATCGCTATGCACGTGTTGATTCGTCATAAGCACGGTCAGGGTCCGCATCATCACCCTAAGGGTCCATGTGCCTAAATAGTATGTACTTTGGCCTTAAAGTAGTGCCAATATAGGTACATTGGGGCCAGAGTATGTGCTATTTGGGTACATGGCCCCTTAGCGTCATACACGGATAAGACAAAAACAAAACAGGGGGACACACCTTGAGCAAAGAACTGATGTGAATTGGAACGCACGGCCAATTCAAGCTCACACCCTATGGTTTAATGTGTCAAGGACTGCACTTTCAGCATCAAGGCTTTCTGGAAGGCTCGGAGATCATGAAGACCTCGTAAGATGTTTCCCACATTTTGTCGGACGCTACAACCTAACAAATTGTAAACCGCACCAGAACCACTTACCCAAAGCTGCTTCGGAGCCCTGACACCACCGATCTCCTATCCCGGTCCCAGAAAACAAAGCATCGGTATCGGCCCGTGACTGGGCCTGAATACATCGACGAGATTTGGATGTTTTCAGCCTTTTGCTGTATTGCCCAAGCATATCCGAAAAAATGGCAGCCGGCCAGGATCCCTACACCCTTTTTACACAGGCTTGATTGGAGCTCCCTAAACCCCAAACCCAACGTGGAGAGGTACGGGGTCCCTACCCTACGCTTTCCTTGGGGAAAGGAGATCGCACTCTGCGGTATAAGCCCTTGAAGCCTGAAGCCTAAAACCTAAAGTTCCAAGCATCCTACAACCCGAACTTAGGGGCTGAGTACCCTAGCCCAAAACAGGTTAGGGTTTAGGGTTTAGGGTTTAGGGTTTAGGGTTTAGGGTTTAGGATTATGGTAGGGTTATATAAGCCCCAAAAGGTTAAAGGTTACCTACTCAGCCACTAAGTGCAAAGCGCCCGAAGGCCTCATCCCGGAGAGTCTAAACTGCTGTCTTGACAGGGTTTAGGGTCTTAGGGTTTAGGCTTTTAGGGTTTAGGGTTTAGGGAGCCCTGCGCCTACATCCGAAACCGCAGGACGAGAGTCTTTGTGTTTTCGCATCGTAGAGATGCTCTCTGCCGCATGATCTCACCTGTGCGGAATTCGGGTGAGTTGGGCGTATAGCGCGTTAGCAAGTACTTTTTTGTCTTAGATTTCTTGATCCTCGAATTAAGCAGGATACGTATCGAAGGATTACTCTTTAGAGTTTGGGTTTCCGGGTTCGCTGCTAGGGTGGAAGGGTTCACGCAATGCGTTCATCCCTCCTGCAGAACACAGCGCCCTTAATAAATAGAATAGGGCTTTGGGGTTTGACTATACATTGATGAAACAACAAGGACTCGAAGGCATACTAGAAGTACATAACATCGAGTAATGATTCCGATCTAATTTCTCGTAGCTGCGACTGATAACTATCTGACATAATTACGTAGTGCGGAAAACTGCTCAAGTAGGAGGCGGAAAGTTCTTCCCTTAGTCAAGTCCTCAGCCGTGGTGGCTCGGCTTTTCAGGCTTGCCAACAGAACAGCTAAACCCCAACACGTTCGTTGGCTTTAGGGTTTGGGGTTTAGGGTTTGTCCTACTTGCAAACGCTCCTTTGCAAATTGAGGGGTATGCATTGCTGACCTGAAGTTTGTTCGACTGGCCGGTATTAAGAGATCCTTCCAGTCTGCCATCCAGCGTGCACAGTACATCGCTTTAAGCCACGTCATTGCCATGCTAAACGAATCTAAACGAAAGTGCTCGAAACCCTTATAAACCCTAAACCCCTTAATCCTAAATGAGCGAACCCTGAAACCCCTAAACCCTGTATCCTAAGCCCCTATAAACCCTAAACCCCCAAACCCTAAGTTTTGCGAGGCACTCATCACCATAGAAAAGACCACAGCGAGGGCGCAAACAGCGCATTCCAGCATCGATGCGAGAAGCCTGAGTACCCGAGTTGTAGCATAAACTCTAAACCCTCAAGCATTGCAGCCTTAGCGCCTCTGTGCATACATAAGATATGACAAGGCCCAACAGCCACCAAGGACTTGCAGCGGTTCTTGTCAAGCCGTGATCAAAATGGCAACAGCCGGAGATTCATAGGATAAGACATCACGAAAACACAGATCCAGTTAAGCAAGGGGACGGAAGTTGAGGAAGATTCGCAGACCCTAAACCCGAAGCCCCTGAAACCCTAAGTAAATACCCTAAACCCTAAAAACCCTAAACCTGTTAAGCCCGTAAGTCCCCCAATCCCTAACCTCCAAACCTAGCTCTCGGCAAGAACCTCCCCTGTCTGAGTCCATGGAGCAGAGGCAGCGAACTTCCTGATTGAAGCATCGCGCCGCTGGACCACAGACGCCAAACGATCCTAGGTTTAGGGTATACAAGGGCTCAGGGTTTAGGGTTGAGGGTGTATAAGGGTTAAGGGTTTAGGGTTTCGGCGGGCTCTTTACTTGACTGCAGAGTGCGGTTTCCATCCCCGGAGTCGGGGGAGTAAGGGCTTTCGGGGGTTGGGGTTTAGGTGGTTTGCGGGTGTAGGGGCTAGGGCCTATGGTGTTGTTTCTCACCGGCCCAGATGACCAAGTCTAGGCTTCTCTGTGGTTCTTAGGGCCACGGAAAACAACTCTAGATTCTAGAGTGATCATTGTGATCATGATGAACATGCCCCTAGACACGAAATCTAAAGAGGGGATTCTGCCAGAGGGGGCAAACTGTGGCATGCCGAAGAGTGTAATCTCTCGGATCTGATGGGATCGATGACGTCAACCCCTCCCAAACCCCGAAGTCCTAGAAACCCCAAAAGCTGAGGCCCCAAAGCCTGAACGCTTCTCTGCCAGCTGCAGACAGCTATAGATAGGTAGATTCTGAAAAGCACCAGCCTGCCCAACCCCAAACTTAGGCCTAACACACCGAACACATCAAGCCCTCCTAATTCCCTTTTGGGTTCAGCGTTCCTTGCCAAGTTTGGCGCTTCCGGCATTTGGGGTGCAGGGCCTCGGGGTAGTAAGGCTAGATGTAGCCATAGAATATCTGAATGCGCCCCTGCCACCAGCGTTTCTTCTCAAGCACCCTAAACCCTCAACCACGTATACATGACCAGAGAGCAGATCCAGGGTATGGGGTTGAGGGCGTTGGAGTTTAGGGTGCGTAGAGGCCGCTGTCAGCTAAACGTAAATAATCCTAAACCTGAAAAGGCCTTCACCTAAAGAACCCAGACACAAGCCCTAACCAGTAATCTAATTTGGCACATGCACCCAAATTCGGACTCCCATATCGTGTAGGGTTTAGGGTTAGTGCGGCGTGGCGTTCTCATAGGGCCCCGATCTCTTCGGGTTTGGGGCGATTAGGATTTAGGGCTTTTGACAAGTTGCTTTTGCCTCTTGCAGCGGTTATTGGGGTCTAGAGTTGTCAGAGCCATACTAAGATATACCCTAAACCCTAAACCCTAAACCCTATAATTGTTGGACAACTATTTCAAAAGCCGTGCGTCAGCAAGGACAGCGTGAAGTTGCCCAAGGCAACCTGCGGCACGTCCTATACTAAGTCCTAGAGCTCGGGAGGTACTGGGTTTTAGGGTTTAGGGTTGTAGGGTTTTAGGGTTTAGGGTTTAGAGTTTAGGGTTTAGGGTTTAGGGTTTTGGGCTTAAGACTTTACCTTTTACTAAGTCCTAGAGCTTGGGAGGTACTGGGACCTTATAACCTTTAGAATGGGGTTTTGGGGTATCTTAGGGTATCTTCTACTTTAACCATAATGAGGTAGTGGGACCTAAGCTTTTAGAATGTTTTTTGGGGCTATCTTTATACTATAACCATATAACAAGGAACTTATTATACTATAACCATAATAAGGAACCACCAAAAAAAGAGTATGGGTAATACTTTAGGCTCCTGTATTATGGCTCGTACGCCCGAAGAACTGAGCGCTTAGGGGCTGATGGCGCCTGTAAGCCATGCTTGACGACGCTGCTCATTGCGTCTGCATGCTTCTGCTGGGTTTAGGGTTTAGGGTTTAGGGTTTCTGCTGTTAGATTGCTGGCAATTGGATTGCTGCCTGGTTCTCACCACGCTGCGCAGGGTAGGTTTGAACTGAATCAGAATTGGTGCCTTCCTCTTCTCGCCAAACTGCACAGCTACTCTGTATGACTCAAGGGCCCTTATGGCAGCAGATATATACAACAGTTCACGCATGCATCTCATGACTGCGGTTCACAATCAAGC